TATAAATATGCAAACATGTCAGGAACAGTTAAGCATAAAGCATATAGTGAATCTAAACAACCCTGAAATAGGAGAATCAAAGAAATAATTTCGAAAGTTTGTGTAACAGTGACAGGTAAAATGAGCAATTGTCCACGTGCCCAGTGAACTGGGAAAGGATACCAATCCTGACAAGCTCACCACCAACAGCACCTTCAATTAATTTCCTTGCTTTGGTTGCCCCCTCCCACTTTTCCTTAACCCTCAGTCACGCTCAGTTTTTTCTGCAGTTTCCATTTCTACCTTGCAACAGTTAGATTCCAAAACAAAGCTACAAAAGAAAGGACATACTCGAAATGTTAAGATTTATACCCAGAACTCTAAGGAACAGAAAGCTTCAAAATTTAATGATTTGTGCATCTTTATCTTTGTCTTAGGATATTATAAGGATACAAAGATATGAAAAGATTAGGCAACCTTTAAAATTTTTTTATTCTGAAATAATTGTAACATAGTACAAGGAACTCTCATATGCTCTTCACTAAATTCACCAATTGTTAACATTTTGTAATATTTGCTTTATTAATCTCTATTTGAACCATTTGAGAGTAAATTGAAGCATCATTCCCCTCTACTCCTAAATATAGGAATACCTCTGAGATCTTGTGGGTTCAGTTCCAAATCACCACAATAAAGCAAACAACAATAAAACAAGTCACACCAATTTTTTTTGTTTCCCAGTGTATATAAAGGTTTTTACACTATATTGTAGTCTATTAACTGTGCAATAGCTTTATGTCTAAAAAAGTACATACCTTAATTTAAAAATACTTTATTGCTAAAAAATGCTAATGACCATCTGAGCCTTCAGCGAGTCATAATCTTTTTGCTGGTGGAGGGTCTTGTCTCGATGCTGATGGTGCTGAATGATCAGGGTGGTGGTTGCTGAAAGTTGGGGCGGCTGTGGCAATTTCCTGAAATGAGACAACAACGAAGTTTGCCACGTCAATTGACTCTTTCACAAAGATGCCTCTGTAGCTTATGATGCTATTTGATAGCATTTTGCCCACATTAGAATTTCTTTCAAAATTAGGGTCAATCTTCTCAAACCCTGCTGCTGCTTTATCAACTAAGTTTATATACTATTCTAAATTCTTTGTTGTCGTTTCAACGATGTTCATAGCATCTTCCCCAGGAGTAGTTTGCATCTCAAGAAACAACTTTCTTTGCTCATCTATAGGAAGCAACTCCTCATCTGTTCAAGGTTTATCATGAGATTACAGTAATTCAGTCACATCTTCAGGCTCCACTTTTAATTCTAGTCTTTTGCTATTTCCACCACAACTACAGTTACTTCCTCCACTGAAGTCATCCATGAGGGCTGGAATCAACTTCTTCCAAACTCCTGTTAATGTTGCCATTTAGACCTCTTCCCAGGAATCACAAATGTTCTCAATGGCATCTAGAAAGGTGAATCCAGCCAGGCGAGGTGACACCGGCCAATAGTCCCAGCTACTTGGGAGTCAAGGCGGGAGGATCGCTTGAGCCCAGGAGTTTGAGTTTGTAGTGAGTGAGCTATGATCGCACCACTGCATTATAGCTCAGGCAACAGAGCAAGACCCTGTCTCAAAAAGTAAAAATTAAAAATTAAAAGAAATTAGAATGGTGAATCCTTTCCAGAAGGTTTTTAACTTACTTTGCCCAGGTCCATCAGAGGAATCGATATATATGGCAGTATAGCCTTACAAACTGAATTTCTGAAATAATAAGACATGAAAGTCAAAATTACTCCTTGATCCATGGGCTACAGAATGAATGTTGCGTTAGCAGTCATGAAAACATTAATCTCTCGTACATCTCCATCAGAGCTCTTTGGTGACTAGGTGCATTGTCAATGAGCAGTAATTTTTTTTTTTTTTTTTGAGACAGAGTCTCACTCTTTTGCCCAAGCTAGAGTGAGTGCCGTGGCGTCAGCCTAGCTCACAGCAACCTCAAACTCCTGGGCTCAAGCGATCCTACTGCCTCAGCCTGCCGAGTAGCTGGGACTACAGGCATGCACCACCATGCCCGGCTAATTTTTTCTATATATTTTTAGTTGTCCGATTAATTTCTTTCTATTTTTAGTAGAGACGGGGGTCTCGCTCTTGCCAGGCTGGTTTCGAGCTCCTGAGCTCAAACAATCCGCCCGCCTCGGCCTCCCAGAGTGCTAGGATTACAGGCGTGAGCCACCGCGCCCGGCTGAGCAGTAATGTTTTGAAAGTAATCTTTTTTTTCTGAACAGTAGATCTTAACAGTGGGCTTAAAATAAACCATGTATAAACTGATGTGCTGTCGTCCAGGCTCTGTTGTTCCACTGATAGAGCACAGGCAGAATAGATTTAGCGTAATTCTTAAAGGCCCTAGGATTTTCAGAATGGTAAATGAACATTAGCTTCAACTTAAAGTCACCAGCTGCATTAGCCTCTAATAAGAGAGGCAGCCTGTCCTTTGAAGCTTTCCAGCCAGGCATTGCCTTCTGCTCTCTAACTATGAAAGTCCTAGTTGGTTTCTTCTTCCAATATGACTTTTTTGTCTACATTGAAAATCAGTTATTTAGTGTAGCCACCTTCATCAATAATCTAAGCCAAATTTTCTGGATAATTTTCTACAGCTTCTACAACAGCACTTGCTTCACCTTACACTTTTATGTTATGGAGGTGGCTTCTTTGTTAAACCTCATGAGCCAACCTCTGCTAGCTTCAAACTTTTCTTCTGTAGCTTCCCCACCTCTCTCAGCTTTCATAGAGTTGAAGAGAGTAAGGGTCTTGCTTTAGATTAGGCTTTAGTTTAAGAGAATATTCTGGTTGGTTTGATCCTCTATCTAGACCTCAAAAACTTTCCCCATATCAGCAATGTCTGTTTCTCGTTCTTATCATTTGTGTGTTCACTGGAGCAGCACTTTCAATTTCCTTCATGAACTTTTCCTTTGCATCCAAAACTTGGCTAACTGTTTGGTGCAAGAGGCCTAGTTTTTAGCCTATCTTAGCTTTTGATATGCCTTTCTCACTAACCTTCATCATTTCTAGCTTTTGATTTGAACACTTAGAGGCCATTGTTGGCCTAATTGTATCTCAGGGAATAGGGATGCCTGAGGACAGGGAGAGAGTTCAGGAACAACCAGTTGGTGGAACAGCCAGAACACACACAACATTTGTCGACTAAGTTTTCTGTCTTGGATGGGTAAATTCACACCTAACAGATGTGATGCGCACTGTTTGGGAGATGGGCACGCTTGTAGCTCTGACACAGGTGGTACAAAGGCCATTTATGTAACCAAAGCATTTGTACCCCCATAATGCTCTGAAATAAAAATAAAATAAAATATTAATAAAAATAACATTTAAAAAAAGTTTTCTGTCTTATATGGGCACAGTTGGTGGCACCCCAAAATAATTACAATAGTAAATCAAAGATCTCTGAACATAGATCACCATAACAGATAAAATAATAATGAAAAAGTTTGAAATAGCCTGAGAGTTACCAAAATGTGACAGAGAGACACAAACTGAGCACATGCTATTGGAAAAATTGGCACCAATAGACTTGTTTGACACAGGATTGCTACAAACCTTCAATTTGTAAAAAGTACAGTATCTATGGAGAACAAAAGGCAAAGTGCAATAAAACAAGGCATGCCTGTACTTCAGTGTGTATTTCCTAAGATCAAGGACATTCTTTTACATGACCACAATACAATTATCCAAATCAGAAAATTTAATATGATTAAAATTATCTAATATACAGTCCACAGTCAAATTTTGCCAATTATGGCAATAATGTTCTTTAATAGCCGTTTCGCCTCTAATCCAGGATCCAACCCAAGATCACCCATAGATTTAGTTTCCATGTCTCTTTTATCTCCTTTAATCTGGCATAAATCCTAGTCTTTGTCTTTCATAACATTAATAATTTTGAAGACTATGGTCTAGTCATCTAGATATGTCTACCTCAAACGCAGGTAATGCACTTTCTTGCAAGAACATTACATTATGTTGTGTCCTTTTCAGGGTATCATATTAAGAGGTACATAATGTGGGTTCCTCCCATAATTTGGTTCCTTTGGATATGATGAACCGAAGTATGGTTAATTTGATCATCTGGTTATGATGGTGTCCACCAAATTTCTCTTAAAGTTATTTTTTTCATCTATATAATTAATATACAATTTATGGGGAGTTATTTTGAAACAATATAAATATTATGTTCCTCATGACGTTATCTTCTAGTCTTAGCATCCTTTGATGATTCTTGTCTAAACCAATTGTTTTATTAGGACATAATTCATATATAATAAAATTCATTATTTTAAAATAAACAATTCAGTGGTTTTTGTATATTCACAAGGTGACGCAACCATCACCATTATCTAATTCCATAACATTTTCATCACCCCAAAAAGAAATCCTGCACCCATTAGCAGTCATTCCCCTTTCTCCACTCCTCCCAGCCTCTGGCAACCACTCACTGTGTGCCTCTCTGGATTTGCCTGTTTCAGACATCTAGAAATGGAACCATGCAATATGTGGTCCTTTGTATTGACTTCTTTCACTTAACATGTTTTCAAGGTTCATTCGTATTGTAGTTTTTAATCGGTATTTCGTTCCCTTTTTATGTGCCTAAATCAATTATTACTATGATTCTTGAAAAATGGTGATATTCTAACTACATTTCCATGTACACTTAATAGGTGACATTATTCTCGTCGTCCTTTGTCAGGAATCTCTTTAAGAAAACTTGACCAGTGAAATTCATTTTAATAAACAGGAGTCCCTTGCTCTCAAGTAGTTACCAATCTTAGAGAAAAGGGTCGACGACGAGCACCTTTATTGGCGTTTACAGGCTCTTCCCTTACTTCTACTTCAAGAGCACCATGTTGGGCTCTCTCCGCCTGTCATCCCACAGGCTCCTCCTCCTTCCTCCAGGTGCCCCCCCCGCCCCGGAGGCTGCAGGAGGAGGAAGTGACGCACCGGAACTGTCCCTGTTCCCCTTGCAGTGGGGGAAGGAATCAAACCCCCAAGATGGCGGCGGCGTCGGAGGAGCGGATGGCAGAGGAAGGAGGCGGCGGCCACGGCGACGGCGGCTCCTCTTCGGCCGCCAGCTCTGCCCAGCGACAGCCCCCACCGCCCCCGTCCCAGCCCCCGCAGCCGGGGTCCCAGGCGCCCCCAACACCGGCGCTGGCTCCGGACCAGCTGCCTCAAAACAACACGCTGGTGGCGCTGCCCATCGTAGCCATCGAGAACATCCTCAGCTTTATGTCCTACGACGAAACTAGCCAGCTCCGCCTGGTGAGGCCCCCGCGGGACCCCCGCCTCCCTCTCCCCTGGACCGAGGTCTGGGGAGGGGAGGAGAGGGGAGCGCGTTCCCCGGGGAGGGAGCCCCCGCGAGCGCCAGCCGGCTCCAGATCCCGGAGCGCGCCCCTCCCGTCCTGAACTCTCTTCCTCGGCGTCTGGCAGCAGGAGTGGGCTGGTTCTCTCTTGCACCCTTGCTGCGGGCTGGGGGCGACCTGCTGAGGGAACTTCACCTTGGGGGGCTCCTTGCCCGCTGCCTGGGAACTGGCGCGCGGCGGAGGCGTATCGGAGTTGGGCTGTCCACCTTCCACCCCGCCGTGCGTGGACCCCCAAGGGGTTGTGTCTCCTGCCTTTTGTATACCGCCTTCCTTCCTCCAGCCCGAGTTGGGGAAGAAAACTCAAAAGTAGGCAAATGATCCCAGCCAGATTTGTTTTGCAAGAATAACGTATTGTTCCCCCAACCACCCCAAGTTTCCTTGTTCGAGAAGGTAAAGTAGGGTTGCTCAGTTCCGCCAAAATCCTGGTAGAGGTTCTGAAGAATTAGAATGTGTTTTCGTGGCCTTAACCCCAGCGACCTAGTTGGCCACTACCGTAGAGCCCTGGGAATTGACCATTTCGGCTTTATCTCACTCTTGACAATTCCCATCCATAGTAAAGCTACTTGCCCCTTAACAGGGGCTTTTTCTCTTGCAGTTCATTTTCTAAGTAGTGATTTTCGCCCACCCGCCAGCTTTAGGAGAGGTTTATTTGTACCTTCAAATCACAGTAGTCCAGTCCATGATATTTAAAAACAATGAATTTGCCATTGGGATTTTACTTCACTCCAGAGGTTTGATGAAGTCTTACTTTAGTCAAATATTTTGCTTCCTTTCAGTGCATTTATCTTGAAGTGGTAAAATTGAAGGAGGTGGACATTTTGAAGTGATTGCAAACCGATTCTGTGTAGAAGGGAAATCTGTGCTCGAGATTGTTTTTAAGAGGACAAAGACATATTTCTGAATGTGCTGTGTATAGCATTTTCTTATTAATCAATATGCCGTATTTTAGGTTTATGCTCCAGTTTAAAATTGATTATAATTGCATTTTTGAAGAAAATAATCCTTATTTGTAAAAGAAAGCTTATAAATATTAATTCAAACTGATGGCCAATTTTTTTGTTGTCAACATAGCAGTTCAACCATGCCAGTCTGCAGGATGGAAAATTTCTGCAGTTGAAAATAAATATTTCAAAATTGGTTCTTCCTGAATTTCCAAAACATTTCTTCTTAAAATTTCATGTAGAATCTTAAATATTTCTTCATATTTTTACCAAGAATGGTGTTTGGTCAAAATTCACACTGTACATTCATGGGATTTGGAAATCGGGCATAACATTTGATTGAATTGAGCCATTCAGCCAGACAATGGCTTCTAAAAGCTTGGAATGTCCACAGTTCTGTTTTTTAAGTGCTGAGGAAAACTGGTTTTTTGTTTGTTAGTCATTTGCTTTTATAAAATTAAAATATTTTTTAAAGGGGGGGGAACTATCCTATCCTAACCAGAAGTAAACCACCATTTATTAATTAATGACATCTCTGTCAAGATATTCAGATGGATTCTTAATTTTTAAGCCATTATCTCTTGCCTTTTAAGGTTACAAATTTATAATTTCTCATGCTGATTTTTTTTTTTATAAGGAGTCCCTTCTATACCACAGCCCATCCCCAGGAAAAGATTCTGCCCCCCCCACATTTGCAAATGTGATATTTTTGTAATGGGGAAACTGTTCTCTTATTCTTTAATTCTTAACTAGATTTAATGGATAATCTTTTGGAATTTGGAAGTGTCTTTGGTGTGGAAGGTACAATTCAGGTTAACATAAAAGAAAGATGTTCTTTCTTGCCAGTAGGTGTCAGCATTAATTTAATTATGATCATTTTCTACAATTGGCAGTCGAGACCGTTCCTGGTAGATGATTCTTTCCGTGCCTTTTCAATGTAAGTGGCCATTTACACCTAAAGAATTGTTTGCCAAAGAATCAAGGGACTTTAGTATATGTACTGCTATCTGACATATAAACTATATAGTCCCTTTCATCGTAAGTATTTTTTTTTAGTGGCATTAAGACTAGATATGCTTGGAAGGGAGTAATATTAATTAAGAACAGACTTAGTTTTCATAAAGCTAAATGGCAGCTATTTGGTAGCTGATGAGCTAATTTATGTATTGTTCAGGTGTTTGGAGTTTTTCTTTCCTGACCAGTTTACTTACTTATTAGGACTCAGGTCCTATTGTTAGCACCTAACTTACGGTACAGGTACACAATCCATGTACTTACTGCTCTGTATTTTCTTTAAAATATATGCTCTAAATTAAAATTGCTACAATATTTTTCAATTATTTGTGCAGTTTAGTTGATAATAGTCTTTGCTTCCTGTTACTGTGAATAATTGAAATTTTACTCCCATCCAATGTTTTCCATGGGGGTTGTCTGAATGCCTTATTAAATTGGATTTTTTTTCTCTGGCCATTGACTATTGATCCAGAAGTGTACCCAGAGCCTGGAACTCCTGGTGTTACAAAAATTGTTTCTTAAATATTTAACTCCACCAATATAAAATTATCTTGCTGAACACAATCTTTGAAGTGACAAAACGTGTACTTTGAGTTGTTTTTCCTGTAAAACAGATAAATTTGTGCTGATACAGCTTTAGTATGTCACCCAGGCCCTCTTGACAGGTTTGTGAGAGACTTTGAAACAAGTGGCAAAGGTTAATAAGCGAGTTGCTACCCTTAGGGAGCCGATCAAAGCTAACTTTGAGCCTCTAACTTTGGCTCATGAGCACAATATTCTTACCCACTGAAAAATAAGTACAGGAGGCTTTAAAAAGATATTTTGGAGAGATGCTATCAAATTTTTTCCTCTTTGGTTCAAGTGGAGCACCTATAAATTTAAAAGAATCCTGTTAGTGCTTCAGAATATGAATTCGACTAAAGGTTAAGTTGAGAATTCTTACTATCTGGGATGAAATTTTCTACTCAGCAACAAAATACATAAAATGTGCTTTTGTCCCAAGATATTTCTATAGAGCACTGTAGCTAGTTAAATGTTAGCTCTTTATAGTTCCTTTTACATCTTTTCTTCAAATATGTTAGAAAATTCCAGTTATAGAATGGGGTGATTGGTAGGAAATATGAAGGAAAATGAGGAACCATTACTTCCTTTTCTTTTTAAGTAGGCAAGCTGTCTTCCTCATATCTCTCATTCTGTAGCAAGAGTTCTCAAATGTTTGTATCAGGACATCTTTACAATATAAAAAGTTATTGGAGATTCTAAGAGCTTACCTTAGAAGATTCTTGAAAACACAAATATTCCCTTGGCTATAAGAACAATAATGTCATCACAGGTCCTGTTGCTTCTGGAAAATTCCACTGGATACTTGTGAGAGAATGAGTACAAAAGGCAAATAACTTCTTAGTATTATGAGACTAGTTTGGCTGTGCAGACCCCCTGAAAGGTTCTTGGGAACCCCAGGGGTTGCAGTTATTACAGAAAATACACTCTATTGCTGATTTTTGGTTTTTTTCTCTCATCATCTCTTCTTCAGGCTGTTGAGTTTATTAAAGAGTACATAAGTACAGGTAAGAAATTACAATCTCTTGGGGACAGTTCATTGTTCCTGCTAATTCTGGTCTCACAAGGTGAAGGGGTTCAATCCATAACCTTGTCCACAGTGTTGTCATTGAGACAGAACGTACACACCTCCCTTGAGTGCACTTACAAAACGCCGGGATAACAAAAACAAAGATAGTAAATATGAGAATGTTGAGGTTAATCAGAGGATTTAATTAGGGAAGACTTCCTCAAGATAATAAGTTTTTATCTAGTTAGTAAAAGTGGAAGAACATTCCCAGCAGAAAAAATAATGTATAAATGATATGTAAAGTAATAAAGTAATTGGAGGAAGCTGACTTAGAGGAACTAAGATGAGCTTGAATTTGAGTATGTGAAGTTTTAAATCTATCTCTTCCCTCCCCGTCCCCCAACTTTTTAATTTCACAGACCAGTTACATTTAAACTATTTTGGAGAACCTCCAGAGTTGACAACTTTTGGTAGGGGGAGCAAGTAAGGATATTAAAAAAAAAATAAAACAACTTCCATCTCTTATAATCATTTCATAAAAGAGGCATACTCTGGTAAACTCTGAGTAGTATAAATTCTTAATAAGATTGAAGAAAGTACTACGTTAAAAGGATAGCCTATGTATATAAATCCAGTTTCATGATGATTGAGGCTATGAGCAAAAGATAACCTTTGATAGAAGTTTCTCCCAACCGCCTATTTCTGTCATCTTGCACTTCAAATTGATTGAAACAGACATCAAACTCTTTAGTTTCCCAAATGTCTCCAGCCTCTCCAAGCACGTTTTATCCTGTTTTCCCTCTCCTAGAAAATATCTATCCCTTCCATATATATACCTTAAGTGTTAGTATCTCAGTGAAGCCTTCTATGATTTTTCTCTGAAATTTATTCAGGTTGTATTTCTAAGTTCCCATTGCATCATTTACTTATTACATTGGAATTATCTTTAGAAGAGCTTGTTTTCCAACCAAATTTAAGCTTCACGAGGGTGGGAACATATCCTTTCATCATGAATCCTTACTGCCTTAGATAGTCTCTGATACAATATAAGTACTCAGTATTTGTTAAATAAATGAAGTAGTTCTTAAAACATTTCACTGCTTTTGAGTAAACAATGGAAAATATGTCATTGTGAAATAAAAGTGTTTTCTGTATTATAATAGTGCTGAAAATCAGTTGTTTAATATTTACCTCCAACAGATTAGAAATTTTAATTTTTAAGCTTTTAGCTCACCTCAGAAGGTCTTCAACATTTTACAAGATCATTCTAAAAATGAATAAAGAAAACTTTTATGAGAATAAAGATTGATAAGGTGATCTGAAGCCAGTATGTAATTAACAAGAGGCATTTAAAATGGTGCATAAAGGCTCCTT